TGATATATAATATAATTCCGCACCTAATAAAAATTCTGTGATTTCGACAATTTTCGCCATCTTGATGGATAAAATATCAGGTTGAGTGCATACCAAAACACAAATTGTACTCACGTGGCACTGAAACATTAAGAACAATGTCTGGTAAAATTCAGAACATTGGAATTGTAACATAGGATTCCCTCGAAAAAAATGGATAATATACTCATAATAAAGTTTGAATAACTTGATATAACAATACGACAAATATTCTCACATTGAATTTCGCGGCCAGATATTCAATTCTATTCCGATAATTAGGCTGTAAACTTCTATCCTTCATGGTAGTACTGGAAAAATTCATCAACTCCAAAGCTGACAATCGTAATAAGGGAATACCATAGTTGATCTCGAGTTTAACCTTCTTCAGACTCTTGACTTTGCTCTGGATATTTTCAGGGGTGTCGGCCAGCGATTCGACATTCTGCCTGATCGTAGACTTGAAGACACCAGCAGAGCGTAGAAGTTGGTAATTCTTCAGAAGTGCTGGCTTTGTTAATTTATTAAATATCGGCCACTTTATAGTAAACTTGATTGCTGTTTCTCTACGAATGTCCAGGAGATTCATTAAAGTTCTCACGGAATAGTTGTGTCCAATGACATTGTCATTTAAAAATTCCCGATAGGTTTTAACCTCTTGGTAATCCATAGTTGTTTCAGTGTTATCATTTTGCATAAGTGCATAATTTTTTTTTGTGTGTTCGTAACGTTTGACTAATTGCTGAGGCAATAACCTCATGCATACGTAATTATTCTGTTTCAGAAGATTCCGCATTAAACACCGAGCCAAGTTTCGCGACATTTTTTTACTGTTATTTACACGGAATCATTGAATTCTTTTTTGTCAGAAAGTTTATCAGATGGTCACTTAACCTCCTCGGAATGCTCTTTCTTCGACAGTACCATGTGCTGTTGTTTGAACGGTTTTTCATGACGGCGTCGCCACTGGTTTTTTACGCGGGAAGTTTAGCTTTAGAGAAAAATATTATCTAAACCTGGAAGTCAACGCTTAAACTTGTATAATATTCCGATAATTACTATACTCATAAGTTCTCATAACTCATAAATTCATAAATGCTTCCAGTATCTACCTGTGAGAATGAAAATGTAAATTTTTACCAGTTCAAATCGGCTTCTGTTCATCAGGTAATCTATTGGTTATCATCCGATAATTAATCACGAAATACAAATTCTCAAAGTGATAAAACAATGAGTTGTATCGTTTCATTATTTAGATCCACAAATTCTGCATATTGAAACAAAACAAACAACTGTGGCATTTTGAAATGCCATCTCATTTGAAAATTAATAATAGAGTTGAGAAGAGCACACCCCCATCCTCTACAACTCACCTTTCACAGCCCCAATCACCTCCCCCTCGAGAAAAACTAATTACCCCACGAAAACACCAGTACAAATGAACAATACCCTCACCATAAAATTTGTAATCACCAGAATTTGCACGCCAAAGGTGCCTTTTCCAAGCGCCGAAACAAAGGAATTGTTTGTTTCATTTCACCTCCTTTGTTCTGTCTATGTCTAAAACTGCATTCTCAAAAAATAAGGAGAACGAAATGATGAAGAAGAAGCCAAAGCAAAAATGGTCAAACGAATATTTCCTTGCATCTCTACTTTACTTTCCTTCTCAACCCAAAGGAATGCAAAGGAGTAAATTCTCTGGAGAATCCGTTGTGCCATGGCCACTCAGGTCAGAACAAGGTATTAAAGAAATAAAAAATATAGAATAAAAAAAAATGCTCATAAATACGTGGTTAATTGCATGAACCTGTTTTTTTCTTCCAACGAACAGAGAATACACGAACCTAAGGAATAAAAGGGTAATATCCCAGTTCCTGATGACGACCCAGTAGCTTTTTAACATTAAATGTATATTCTGAATCCTGCCTTTTATCATTTGACGTCACTCTTTGGGAGTGTAAAAACAAAAAGGATATTCTTTGTGTTGTTCCCAGGATTGGACATAAGCTCTCAGGTACTGGGACATTCAGCTTACATAATGGAGAATAGACGGTTGGATGGATTCGGCGGGTGGTGAGGAATAAGTGCGGAGGAGGAGAGAATTCGAGAAGACGAAGGAGAAAGGAGGTAACCCCCGAAACTTTATACCTCTGTGGGTGGGCCACTATGCCATGCAAGAAGCCGTGTTTCATGTGGATGTTATACTTCAGCAACATGAATAAATTCGTCTCTCACATGCTTCAAGTTGGCGTTCTTCTCCTTCGCCTTCTTTCCAGCCCGAATCGTCAATTTCCCTTTAAAAAAAACAGGTAACGTTTTTTATTGGATTGTCCTCGTTAATCTAGAAGATATTTTCTTTTACCACTTCGTCCCAGAAAAATTCAGCAATTTCTTCGATTCTTCAATGTTTCAGCGCGTAGTCGTATTTTCGAGATATGTATAGCTCTCATTGCGTTCCACAAGAGGGGTTTCTTGAAGATGTCGGAGAATGATATAGGAAAATTCTTTTATTCGAGCTGCCATTCATATTCTATTTTTATTCCCTTGGTTTTTTGTTTGAGAGACATTTGGGCGAGAAAATTCAATGGAGTTTCAGCTAGAGCACGTTTCAACTCTGGATATCAAATAAGAGGTTATAAAAACCTTAAAAAAATGAAGATACGTAAAAACACAAAGACATTGTAAGAAAAAACAAGGAGAGATAGCACTCCAGCGAGTTCTTCCCTGATAAGCGGATGTCACGCTGGGATGTCACAACAATGCAAATATTTCGTAGTCAGAGAAAAAATACAGCGCGCAATGTCTGCAGGTAAATCCTTTCACCTTCTTGTCTGTCAGTGCTCTTGTACCAGCGGGTCGTGGCGTTAGAAATTCATAGTACTGGCGATTTCATTGTGAATTCTCGTGAGTCCCTCACACTGAAAAAAAAACGTATTTATTGCCGCAAAGCGTCATCCACACGTACAAAATTTATGCGAGTTAATGAATTTTCATATTTTCGGTGATATTCAAATTCAATAACTCGATTATCAGTTCGATTCATTGGTGTTGCAACAGTCTACCATTTATTGAGCAATAAATTGTAACAGCAAGGACGAGTGATAAGGAAAATAACTCTCCGCCCAATGGATTTTATTTAGTTGCCTCGTGCATTCAGTTACCATTCAATATTCGTCATGGTTAAAGCAGCAGTTGCAGTTGTAGATACATGCAGCGAGAGTGAAGACTG